ATCACCATCATCCATCACTTACACAGATAACACGGACAACGGGGAGTTGTTTCTTATTATAGGAAAGCCTAATATTTTCACAATGAAAAGAGGTTTCCTCGTGCTTTTACAAGGTCTCAATTTCTAGTCACTATAAAGTGACATTTTACGCTAGTTAGGAGTCTTAACTTTAGAAAATCTTTGGAGCTATAGTGAAAGCATCTGCTCTATTTGGCTACAAACCAAATACTTTGAAACAATACCTAGCGTGTTAAATTTTTTCATTTATCAGAACTAAAAGGGGTAAATCAACTTAATTCACACAACTCTCAGTCTCAGGTACAGATTTTTGTAAAAATTGCAACATATACTATATCAGGACACAAAATAAAATATAGGAACTACTCTACAAATTGCAGAACTTTATCAAAATGTTATACAGGTTATCAGTATGTTTAAACACATACATTGTGTTTATCAAATGGTACTGTGTAAATATCTGGCATTATTTTAAATGTATTACTCTAGTATTAAAATAAGTACCTGATATATAAAGAAATAATTACAACAAAAAGCTATTTCTGGATTTCTAAGCTCACGACTTCTTGCTGTTTAATTAAACCTTACAAACATAATTAATCTATTCATTTAGATACACAGTCCTGTATGACTGTATCTTGCATCTTGACAGTTTTTCAGCTAAACACATTTATCACCAAATTATTCACAAGATAAATGCCAGGAAATAAACTTACTGACAGCAACAACAAAAAAAGCAGCCCACCCATGAGTCATTCACATGGATTCTTCATAATTATTTACAGTAATATGTAAAAGGATAATTTTCCATTTCAGGGAGAAACAAACAGATGCACTAAGAAAGTGTGAGAAAGTCCTACAAAAATGCTGGGAAAATAAATGTTTACAAAATAACATCTTCTTAAGTTTATCTGTTCCTCTTTCTCCAAAAGGAGAAAATATTTCCAAACGTTGTATGTGTTAATATCTGATTAATTTGAACAGGCTCATAAAACGTAGGTTTTAGTCTTTTTTTTTTTTAATCATGTTATTGTCTTCTTATTTCTATGGGGTGAGGAAGAGGCAGAGAGAAAACTTTCTATCACCTGTGCCAATTCTGACCAGTAACCTGGAATCATTACATTTATTTTGCTGAAAACACACAGCAGGTGTTCAATAAATATGTTGTTGAATAACGTTGAAAGAGATAGACCTTGATGACTTCTAGATGCAAAAATACAAAGGTCTACCTTCTTACCTAAAACTGACTCAATTTAACTGACTGTTGGCTTCTATATCTGCACGGGTTAAGAGAACAACAGAAGTTCAATAAGATCTACATCGCTACATCGAAAAATTTAGAATGTCATTAATAACAGGCTAAAGTCGGCTTGTTCTGCAAGTTATAGAGAAGGTTTTGCCAAGCGAACTAATATTGTAAACAGAGTTTTCGAGACAAATGCTCACAGTACTCAATAGAGCATGTTGCCTTCAAGGTACTTCAAGTACTTTCTCATCACCATTTATATGAAAGCAGCATATGCTATTTATAAATAATTCATCTCTTCATTTAAGTGGGTCTCCTAAGCACCCCAAAGAGTAAAAAAAAATGTTAATCTTGTATTATTTAATAAAGTAAATATCTATCCTATCCAAATAATCCACCATCCTCCTCCAAATGCTAATTTTTTTTAAGGTGATAGGAGTCGAGGTATTTTTTTTTCTTTCTTCTTTATACCTCTCTGTGTTGTCTGAAGGTTTTCAGTGAACAAGTATTATTTATATAACCTGAAAATTACATACCTTTATGTGAAAAAAATATAATACATTTATTTTCTCTTCAAGAATAATTAAAATGACTTTAGTAAGAATGCATTTTATTATTCTATATTTAATGAACCTTCTAACATGTACCCAGTAAAATAAAAAAGGAAGGACAGATGCTGAAGTACCTTCTTCTAAAACTATGATTTCTACATACCTTTACAACAAATGTAATTTCATCCCCACAATGGATATGTTCTCAATGAATGCATGTAAATCCAAGTTTATACATTAAGTTCTACCACAAAACAATGAAAAAACATTGCTTAAGAGACTCTACTACGTTTTTCATTAATCAATAAACCTTCCTGTAAAGTGAATAATCAAACATACACAATATGGATCCAAATGTGTACAGATTAGCTCTGTTGAATATAGCAGACAACTATAGCTTCATGTATTACTCCTTACTGATGGTATAAATACACTGAAGCAAAAAAAAATTCACAATTGCCATATCGTTTTTTCTTAATTTGGATTTTCAAACTTTCCACTGTACCTGTAATGAGGTGAAGGGTTGCCTCGTGCTTCACAATTTAAAGTTATTTTTTTATCCTCTGAATCAACAGGAAAAATGCTGTTGCTGGGCTCTTTGATAAACACTGGGCCTTGTAAGAGCAGCTCACCTATATGGGTGGGAGACATCCAAAAAATAACCATCATAAGTGAAAGGTACTGCATAAGCTGTACTCTAGAATTGAAGAATAAAAGCAAGCAACTAGTGTCTGCTCTTAAAGAAAAAAAAGAAAGGGAAAGAAAAAGCAGCATTGCTTCTTCCCTTGTCCACAGAGATGCTCCGTAGATCCTGCTTTGTTTATGAGCATCAATTAAGCTGTCCTTACAGCCTAGTAACACTTCTCAGAGAATGAAAATTACTATCAAAACCACTGCCATATTAATAAGATTACTTAAAAGAACAAATAAGGCTGTACTAATTACATTTTATAACATAAGCTCTACCAAAATTATCACTGGTGAATTATCTACTCCAGGAAGTCCTTCTGTCCTAAGTCTCTTTACAAAACCAGAGCTGTAAAATCAGTGGAAACCCTGAGTACTGTCTTTCTCATAAAATCTGCCATGCCTACAAATCTGAAGGCTGACAATGTTATTTTGTCTTTTGACCCCAAAACGCTCAATAGTTGGTGGGATTTCTATTTTATTACTAGCAAATTGAAGAGAAGGATATAGCACTGAATAAATGTCTTTTAGAAAGTGTTTGTACTTTGATTAAGAGAACTTGAACGTTCTGAGAATTTCCACATATGCACACAAAAAACTAAAAACTGTGTCTTTGTACTACAAATGTAAAAAGGAATGAGATAATGCCATCACCAACTGCTTAAGCTACTGCAATTGTATAATCATTGCCATAGCATTTCGGAAAACAAACACATTCACAGGGGAAAAAAAAAAACACCTCTTTACTCTCCCATCTTGAAATGCTGAGTAAAATTGCATGAATAACCAGACTAAGACACAAGGAGGAACGATGAACAGATGACAAAGAAAATGACATGGAAAAGCACCCCAAAAGCCCAGAAACTATCCTGGCTACTGAAGTAGTAATAACATTATAACATTAATAAAAAATATTTCCCATAGTAATAGGGCAGACACAATACTGAGAATAATCATTGAAATGATGAGAAATGCAACAGCTAAAGCCACCACGTGAATCCTACATGCCCACATCTGTTCTCTAATCTTCATTGCCCTGGGAGGTAAGTACCATAACTATTCCCAATGTGCAAAAGTGAAGTATTGAGTCTAAGAGCTGTGAGGTGACGTGATCAAGTTCACAGAGCATTTTAGAATGTTGTCCATTCTGAAATGGATACGCTGTAGATGATTTGGCTCTAGGGGCCAGACACCCTACGGCTTTTTGCCCAATGAACTTGGCCTTGCCACTGATCTGGCCTTTGATGGGTAATCTGTGTCCAGCCTGACAGGTAATTTGTTTACTGGGAGGACTGCCACCCTGGGTCTGATGGTGGGACTGTCAACACCTGATCAGCTTGGATGGGGGCTGTCCACACCAGAAAGATCAACCACCTGACTGACAGCGGGAGATCTGGGTCACATGGTACGAGCTGACTTGGAAACTGAGCTCAGCCATGTGTGCACTCAGTCCACCATGACTGATAATGAAGCATCAGGAAAACTCTGGACGCTGAGGCGTGATGAGCTTTCTGGTTGGCGACACTACTCATGTACCATCACATGTCAACACCAGAAGGGAAGTACATCCAAAGAACAATAAAAGCTTAGCATTTAGGACTCTTCCAGATTCTGCCCTATGCTTCTCTTCCGTTGGATGATATTAAAATGGCTCTTTTCCCTGTAATAAACCATAATCATGAGTATAACAGCTTCCAGTGACTACTGTCAGTCCTTCCAGTGAATTGTCAAACCCAGAACTTGCAGTTCGTGTTAGAAATGAGGGCAGTCTGGGAATGTGCACTCAAACTTCAATGTTTGGCTAACTCTGGGCACTTTCCACTAACACATCGCCACTCAATTAACCCTTAACTGCCGATCATGATTTAAGAAAGCAGCGTGATATCCTCCATCATCCCTGGTTTTTATTTACCTACAAGGCGAAAATGTCACAAGGAAAAAAATCTCACTTTTCCTTTGCTAAAAAGGACAACCTCTGGGAGAAAGGGATTTTGAAATAGCTACTAATCAAACAGCCCCTAATGAAAAAGAACCAATTTTGTCATTTTCTTGAATTTTTTCCCTTCGAATAGTTTACTGCATAAAAATAAATACAAAAACAGCAGTGTTTCATTAATCAAATTTATTATCTTAGAAATATGAATATACTTCTAATGTCTGTTTGTAAACACTGGCTAAGAGGGTGGATATTTCATTGCATTCTTCCTAGTGCTATGGCTTCTGATTTATTTTGAGTGACTTAAACATATTTCATTCATTTATGAGATGGTATAGCATCACTGTCCTGACAAACTGATGTATGTAGCACTTGAAAGCAATAATATAATAGCATAATGGTATATGTTTGAAAATAACAGATAAGTTGGAGAAAGAAACAACAGAAGAAAATTAGGTCTACATTAGAAGAGAATGATTTCAATAAAAAAGACTCAGAGAGGTGTTTTGAAAACTTTCTTACAAGTGACCACCATGAAAACTCAAATATCCATCATCATCTAAGAAAAGTGAAATCCCAAATGCTGTTCTAACTCTTCTCTAGAGACCACTATTAATTTCAGATGCCACTATTAAAAAGCTAGAAGCACATTTTTCTGAGACCCTTTTGAGTGATGATAATAGCTAATTTGCTAACATTTATGTACCAGGCACTATAGTGAGCCATTTACAAGCCTTTCTTCCCTTATTCCCAAGCTGCCTCTGACCCAGCCCCTACCTTCTGAGGTCCAGCTGCACCACTGTCCTTGACTCTCAGACATGCTGAGTTTTGGGCTGACTTCCTTGATATTCTTGTGGTCTTGTTTCCTTTTGTCATTCAGAACTCAGCATAAATGTCACCTTCTCAGCGTAAATGTGACTTCCCCTCCCACCATCTAAAATCATTACCCCTCACTTTCACAAGTCACACATATATCAAAGCACATCTCACTGTAACTTGCTATCAATAAACATTATACATGTTTATATATATGTTTGTTATTTATTTCTATCTAATGCACTGCTGCATCCTCAACTCCTGGAACAAGGCAGATATTCAATATCTGTCTGCTGAATGGATGATTAAGATGAATGAAAAAATTCTCACAATAATTCAATATAAAGGCAGATACTACACTACAGCTGGTGATTGATAAAGGTATGATTTTAATTTCAGAGCTTATATTATTACCTTGTAGTTGTCTGGCCTCCCCAGAAGAAATGAGACCCAGAGAAGTTAAATAACCAACCATACTAAAACCGTTTTTTTGTGAGAGACCAAAAACTTTTGGGATCAGACCCTGTTGCTCATATTCTTGGTTTGTTTCCCTTTCCATTAAACCACGCTGTTCTAAATATGATCAAAGGTGAAAATTAACCATCAGCTTGTTTTTTTCAACTTCAGTATTTCCTGATGACACTGGAGTTAACAGCCTGTGAGACATATACCCACCACTTCTGAAATTTAAGGCTCCTAAAGGCTTTTCAGAACATCAGCAGCCATTCGACTCTTAAAATATAAGTACGAATTAATAATCAAACATGACAGGTTGATCCATGCTTCCTCCTTAGAAAAAGGGACAAAAGCCGCTCAATCTTGTTTCCCTGGAATGAAACAGGTGATGAGAGATTCTGGGGTATAAAATTCTAGTCTCCTGCTAGCAATATAAGCTTAAAAGGAAAAAATTCTGAAGTCTTCACTAATGTAAAGGAAATTATCCAACAGTTTCTTCAAAACGCATTTTGATCCTCCAAAGGACAAAACCTTTACTATTCACAAAGATATTCATAACTAGTGAAAAAGCAGCTTGGCAGAAAACAGAAGGGGATACGCTTAACTAAATGGATTCAATGTAACATTTAGATTGATGCTAAACTTTACTTTTTGTGACAGGGGTATTTTTTTGATATGCTGGCCTGGCTCCCGAGCTCCATTTTAAGTTTACAACCTAAAATAAAGGGCATATAACATTTCCGAACAGGATTAATAAGTCCAAAAGTCCAATCCTGAGGTGATTTTCCCCCTCCAAACACCCAGAGGCTACTAGGAGTAACTGCCTGGGAATGTAAGTACAAGCTTTATGAGCTCCTAAGGTAATGTCACTTAAAGATCAAACTGTGGCCAATCAATTCTAATGGTCGTACTCTATACAATTTTTATGAAGAATGACAAAGAGAAACAGACAAAGGATTACAGGCAGTTGCGTTACTTTTACTAAAAGAAATGAAATTCCTAAAAGACAACGTTATCTCTGAAATTCCTACAGCAAAGGAAAGCATATCCCATTTTCCCTTGCTGATTTACATCCTATCTACAAGACACAAAACAGGAGTAGATTTTAAAACGAAGAAGGTAAATCCCAAAAGACAGCTAAGGTGGGCAGCACTATTTCAGCCAGAACTGAAGAGAAGGTGAAATCTAGAAAGAGATACTCAACGTTCTCTCAATGTATTTAATTAAGAGATATCCAATCCAAACAGAATGATCTCTAGCTCAGGGCCAGAGAACATAAAATAGCATGTCGCTGATGAGGTGAGATCTGTATTCTAGGCTGTATTACTCCACAGGAAAGACAATTTAAGATGGAAACATTTTGAAGCAGTGGGACATCATCTTCTTTTTTTTTTTCTTCTTTTTTGGCATTGATGGTTTACAGCTAGAAAATGCTAAAAGAGACAAGGTACAGCTAAAATAAAATTCCATTTATATTCCTCCAAAGTCAGGAGAGGCTGAAGAATTCAATCTTAAGATAATTCATTTCTTTAACAGATATTTGAATGCCAGACACATGCAGCATGTGAAAAATAAGCCCTGGCAGACACTGCTGGTTGTCTGCTCAACAGTTCTTCTGATTGTTCGCCTTGCCTTCAGAACTTGCCTCTCACCAGAGGTACTGAAAGCACCAGATGTATTACCCTTCGAGAACTCTTTGTTAAAGGGTTTTTACTGGGCAGTAGTGTAGCCAGGGGA